GAGAGCCGCCTCGTTCTCCTCCAGTCCTGTACGTAGACAACAAGGCCATGCTGGCCTTGTGTCGAGAGCAGCGACTGGAGCACAGGACAAAGCACATTGCTCTCCGCTACTTTCTTGCTCGTGAGCTACAGCAGCGTGGACAGTTGCGACTTGCGTACGTGGCCTCTGAGGCCAACACTGCTGTTGTCTTCACCAAGGCACTTGCGCCTTGTGATCATCAGCGTTGCTGCACGCAGTTGGGTCTTGTGCCTGTCTTGCCTCACTTGCTCACTTCTTGACCTTGCTTGTACCTCGACCTATATATACTCTTGCTCTTGCTTGCTTGACTCTTGTATATCTCTATATATGGTCTTGCATGTGAACTGGCCTTGTGGCCCTTGAACTTGTGCTCGGAATGTGTGGTGACTTTGTGATCCACCCTGAGCTTTGCTTTGTTTTGCTTGACTGGTCTTGTGACCCCTTGTTCTCCCCCACTTTGCCTATGGGGGTGTGTCAGAATATTATAGCTTACTTATTTGTGTAGGCTATAGTGGGGTATCCCATAGGGGGTACAACCCAACTAGAGTTTCCTATTTGTACTCACTTCATTCATAGTCATTCCATTCTCGTTCTAACTTTCTCAACCTGCTGCCAAGCACGCTCTGGAGGCGGGATGGGTTGCAATTGTCCCGCCGGCCGCTTCCGGGTTGACTTCATGAGCTGGCAAGTGGGACACGATGCCACGTGTCGTTACACGTCGGTCAACATCTCAGGCCAGTAATAGTACCGCTGCAACTGCTGCCGTGTTTTCTCTACTGCGAAATGTCCTGAGGTAACTCCGTCGTGTGCCTCCTGTAACAGTAGTTCCCGTAGTAGCGTGTATCCTGGTACCCAGATGCGGTCGGTTCCAGCTTTTACGTAATAGACTCCCTTGGTTGCTGCGAATTGCTGTGAGTTTCCTCATGTGAAGAATGGGTCTGTTTGATATCCGTGGGTAAATAGTCCTGTAAGTAGCGGGCTGGTCTGGGCGAGTAGTATCGCGTGGATATGGGCAGTGGGGCGGGTCAGTGCGTCGGCGATATTCGAGGCTCCTTTTTTATATGTGACCGTATAGTGGAAATTCGACTCGAGGAAATCGAGCCACCGAATCTGTCGTAGGTTGAGGTCGGGCTGTGCATGGAGGTACTGTAGGGATCGATGGTCTGTCCGTACTGTCACGTCTGCGCCGGTCAAGTAGCAGCGCCACACTTTGAATGCATGCACGATCGCGAGCATTTCGCGGTCGTGTATCGGGTAATTTTGCTCAGGTGGGTGTAGCTTGCGTGATTCGTAGGCGATGGGTTGGAGGCCGTTGCCGAAGTCCTGTAACAGTACGGCTCCGATGGCGATGTCACTCGCGTCTGTAACAACTTCGAAGGGGCGGTGTGGGTCAGCGATGCGTAGGACGGGTGGTGAACAGAGAACATTTTTCAGGGCAGAGAAGGCAGCATGCTCTTTCTCCCCCCACGTAAAAGGGACCCCCTTACGCAGTAAATCAGTGAGTGGGGCTGTTAAGCGTGCCATGTCGGGGACGAACCGACGAACGTAATTAACAAACCCTAAAAAACTCTGCAGTTCCGTGATGTTCGTCGGGGGATGCCACGCTTTTACGGTATCCAGCTTCTTAGGGTCTATTATCAACCCCAGCCTCCGAAATGACGTGACCTAAAAACTCTAGCCTGTCCCGAAAAAACTCGCACTTGGAGCCCTTGGTGAGTAACCGATGTGCCTCTAAAATTTTAAAAACTGCTTCGAGATCTACTAAGTGCTGCTGCTGGTCCCGACTGTAAACGAGGATGTCGTCGAGGTAAACTATCACGCATTTATCTAAAAGTGGCCTAAACGCCTCGTTCATGGTCATCTGAAATGTTGCAGGCGCGTTGGTCAGCCCGAAAGGCATCACCGTGTACTCGAATGACCCGTACCTAGTCCTAAATGCTGTCTTGGCGCAGTCCGATGGTTCGACCCTAATTTGATGGTAACCTCCGCGTAAGTCTATTTTCGAAAATACTCGTGCAGTTCGCAGCTGGTCGATCAGTTCGTCGGCGCGGGGGATGGGGTATCGCGATTTGACTGTTACCCTGTTTAGCGCTCGGTAGTCGATGCACATGCGAAACCCTCCGTCTTTTTTTGGTGTGAACAGTATCGGTGCGGCGAACGGTGACGAGCTCGGTCGGATAAACTGCTTCTCTAACAGGTAATCTAACTGCTTCCTTAGCTCGTCGAGCTCGGGCTGTGTCAGTCGAAATTGGCGCTGTACAATTGGCTGTGCCCCCGGTTCTAACTCGATCCTATGGTCATGCGCCCGCTGAGGTGGCAGTCCTGGAAACAGTTTCAGAAGTGCCTGCAGTTCGGGTGGTACGGCTGCCAACAGTTTCTGCAAATCACTCGGCTGCTCCTCTTTTTCCACTAATGCGATATCCACTGCGTACACATCAGCTCCAGCAGCGACAGCCCGTTTCATCGTGATGGCGTTGACCTGGACCGTCGAAGACTCGGGTGGCTGCCAACGAGGTAGGACGAACCAGTTACCACTACTTCGCACTGTGCAGCTACCCGTCGTCCAGTCAATTCGTGGGTTATACCGTCGCAGCCAATCACGTCCCAATAAAATGTCGTGCCCATCCAGTGTCGTTGCGAGCATTTCCTGTGTAAACCCGAAGTTCCCTCCGCAGCGGACTTTTACTCGCTCCACCTTTTCTCGTATAGCCAGTGGCGCTCCGTCGACTAAGCGTGCATCTATCTCAGGTTAGCATCGGTTAAGTGTTAACTCTAATTTCCGTGCGGTTGCGGTATTAACTAAGCTGTGACTTGCTCCTCCGTCAACAAAAATCTTCACTCCTGCTCCTTGTATTTTCCCGTAGATTAGTACCGGGCAATCTGTCGCTGTACCCTCCTTATTCATCCGAGCCCAATCGATGGCATGAATCGGTACTGTGACTCGGTGTGGGTCGGTGTGGTTGGGCGAGCAGGCAGTCTCGTCAGTAGTTGGCCCAACTTCTACTGACTGCTGGCGTTTCCCTGCCTCTGAGACTCCCTTCCCTGCTCTGCTCCTCGGCGCCTCAGCTCCTCTGGGCATTCGCTCTTGCGATGGCCCGGCCTGTTGCAAGCAAAGCAACGCCCCTTAAACGGTGCGGCAGTTGCATTCGTTGCGACGGCGTGTACAGTGGCGTGCTCGGTCGGTCCCCGAGGACGTTGTCCGTAATAGGACCCCGGTCTCGGTCGGCGTAGAATGTCGATCTTCTCGGCGAGCGCGAGAATCTCGTTGAAATTAGAGAGTCCGCGCAGCATTATCTCGTGCGAGATGTCCGGCTTCAGCCCTCCGACGTAACGGTCCACCCGCTCCGCTTCGTGCATGTAGCCGACCTGCTCGCAAAGTGCGAGAAAACCGCTGGTATAGTCTTGAACTGACCCGAGCTGGCGCCAAGTGCGCAGTTTCTGACGCGCCGAAATGGAAGCCGCGATCGGCTCAAAGCGCGCCCGAAGCCCTGCGCACCACGCATCCCACGTGCTGTATTGGGCGGTCTCGCAGAACGAACTCCAGGTGACAGCTGGACCCGTGGGCCCTTCCTCGTGCGACGTTGGCTCGTAGGCGCGTGGCGACGTCACGATGACTCGCCACCAGTCCATGGCGGGGCCCCTTAGTAGTGAAACCGCATACCGGATCTTTGCGGCGTCCGACTCGACGTAATTGGCGTCGAAGAAAACGTTCATCGTGAAGACCCACGATTGAACTGTCGGACCGCCGCGTTGACTTGGGTCGAAGCAGGGCGGGCGTTGCGGCTTTGAGCGGCATTGGTGCCATGTTGGAGTGTTTGCCACTTGTCGCCGCAAATTCCACGTGCCGACGGACTTCTCGAGGCTCCCGTGGGCTTGGTGCGATCCTGTTTCCTCCCATACCAGGCATCGGCTGGGCGGCGCCCTCACTGGCTGCGCCTGAGCGTTGTCCCGTGCTGTCGTGTTGTGTTGGTGTGCCGGACGAGATGATGATCGGCTCATCCGAATGTGCAGATGCGTTTGTTGGTGCGTGTGATGTCGTCGGTATGTTCACCGTAGACTGTTGACGGGCGGAGTCACGTTCCGCCGTGAGAGTAGCGATTTCAAGCGCCGAATCCTCCAATTGACGTACGTGGCGATCAAGTTGCTCCTGCGTCAATGTGGTGAGCGTGAAGTCGGCCATGGCGGGGGTGTCGGGCAAGCTCAGCGAGAGCCTCGGTCGTGGCCGTGCGTGCTTGCGAGAGAGCACTACGAGCGGCGGTGCTGTATCGCTGAGGGACGTCTACCCCCCCCAAAAAATTGAGATAGTGGGGAAGCGAAGGTGTGGATGCGGTCCGAGATGGGATTGTAGGCTCTGAATACCAAGTGTTACGAGCGCAATTGAGTGAACGAACGAGAATTGCACTATCGAAGCAAGAGTACAATGAGCGAAGGCATGAGCGAAGAATATATAGCGAAAACAGTGGTAACGGTAATGGTAGTCGCGCGACGAGCCTGGGACTGAGGTTGGGAAAGTGTCGAAGCGTAGGCCCGGAGCGCGGGTTACCAGCCGAGTCGTGAGGTCGGGATGCGATGTGCGAAAATGGCGGGATGATGAATGATGCGATGATCGCGAGTGGTAACGGTGCTGACTGAGGTGCTACAGTGATGTACGCGTTGAGCAGGGATGCGAAGTAAGGAAAAGGGAATTTCCTTACATCTGCACAGATTGATGCATGCATGTGTGAACATACACAATACATTCCAAATAACAAAATCTGATACCGACTTTATGGTAACCACTCCATTCTCTTGTGACCTGTTCCAAATCGAGGCCGTGTCACCTGAAAGGTTCGTGAGACGCCTCAAATACGGAAACGATAGGTTAGTTGCCTTAACAGACTACTTACCCCCCCATCCGCCCCCTCCGTCCCCCCTCCCCCGCTCTCCCTCCCCCACCCCCCTCCATTCTCTCGTAGTTGGCTAAAGAAAAAGGGCCTCGGTAATCACTTCACCCCCTCCATTCTCTCGTGGTTGGTTCCTGCCCCAAATCGAGGCTGGGTCACCTGATTGGTTAGAGGCACCTTAAAGAGTAAAACAATCTGCTAGGCTCGCCTTAAGACTACTTTACCCCCTCCATTCTCTCGTGGTTGGTTCCCGCCCCAAATCGAGGTCGATTCACCTGAATGGCTAGGGGCACCGCCCTCCCTACATTTGCTCTCTCCCTCACCGTCCCCACACCCCCTCCATCGTCCACTCCCTCCCCCACTCCCACACCCCCTGGCACCTCTCCGCTGTTTGATGCCTGCATCTGCTGCTGCTGTTGCTGTTGCTGCTGCTGCTGCTGAACCTGCTGGTGCTGCCGCTCCTTCACTCTCAATGCAGCCACCAATGGGGAGGTGTACTGCTGCTTACCCACAGGCAGCTGCGGCGGCCGCGGGCTGAACCGGGCGTTAGGAGGCGGATTCAGGGAGTTGAATTGCGCAGGGGTGAATGGTCCCACCCCGGCAGGGGAGGGAGGGCCAGCAGCGCGACGCATGGCGAGTGCACCCAGTGCACCGGGTGTGCCTAATCCCCCACCTCCCAGTCCCCCCCCTCCTGATGTTCCTGGACCCCCTCCTTGCCCAGGGTTTAGGAAACTCATGGGGGAGGCGGGTGGCACGCGGAGAGGGGTGATCGGGGCTGGTGACGCTGACAGCCCGGCATTGTCTGGTGTGGGGTGGGGGAGTGGGGGGGTGCAGGGTGGAAAGAAAAAATAAAAGGGGGAAGGAGGGAGTGTCAAGGAGGAGGGGCCAGCAGCGCGACGCATGGCGAGTGCATGGCGAGTGCACCGGGTGTGCCTAAGCCCCCACCTCCCAGTCCTCCCCCTCCTGGCGTTCCAGGCCCCCCTCCTGCCCCAGGGTTTGAGAAACCCATGGGGGAGGCGGGCGGGACGCGGAGGGGAGTGATGGGGGCTGGCAATGCTGACAGGCCGGCATTGTCTGGTGAAGAGGGGGGGAGGGAGGTGAGGGGGTTGGGGAATGGCGCAAGGCGGGGTGAGGAGGAGGGGGGGAGGAAAAGAGGGGAAGGGGTGATGGGGGCTGGTGATGCTGACAGGCCGGCATTGTCTGGTGTGGGGTGGGGAGGGAGGTACTGGAGTAAGGGGAAGGTTCTAGACGGGGTGAGAGGCGAGAGCGGGAGGAAGGGGTGAAGGGGGCTGGTGATGCTGACATGCCCGCATTGTCTGGTAAGCCAAGGAAGAGGGGAGAAGGGGGGCAATATGGGGGTTAAGAGGTGGAAGGGAGTACTGTGATGTAATGGTGGGTCCCTGGTCACTGCTTCAGGCTCTTAGCTAAGCACGGTAATTGGGGAGCCAGGGAGTAGGTAGCTGTGTTCCTTACCAGAGAATTTGAGCAGCGGAGTAGGCCACTCCACAACTTGGTCGGTAGGGTACTGCTGGCTCTTAGCTAAGCGTCGTTATTTACAGACCAAGTAGCAGGGAGCGTGGTTCTGGTAGGGCGCTGCTTCTGGTTCTTAGCTAAGCAAGCAATGTACCTCAGGAAACAGGGAGAGTAGTTCCACACCTGTGAGGTCGAGCAGTGGAGTGAGCGACTCCACAACTTGGGTCATGGTGGGGCGCTGCTTCTGGTTCTTAGCTAAGCACCAGAGCGCCAAGGCAGCCACTTTCTGCGATGCCTTGGCTGAGTACTTGCCCTCGAACCCCGGGTCCATGATGCGGAAGAGCCGGCGGCTGGGGGAGGAGAGGAACGAGAGGAAGGAGAGGAAAGCGGGGAAGAGAAATGAGTGAAGATAAGAGAAAGACGAAGATGCCTTGGCTGAGTACTTGCCCCCGAACCCTGGGTCCATGATGCAGAAAAGACGGCGGCTGGGGGGGAGGGCAGGGGGAAGCGAAAGAGAAAGGGGCGGGAGCTGTCAAAAGAGGTCAGGTGGGCTGCGGAGGCCTTACTTCCATCACAAGAGAAAGGGGCGGGAGGGAGGGACGTGGTTGTATTGGGTGAGTTTGAGGAAGTTGTGGTTTTGTACTTGCCCTCGAACCAGGGTCCATGATGCAGTAGAGACGACGTCTAGGATTGGGACGATAGGATTGGGGGAAAGGAGGAGTAGGGAGTGGATGAGTTGGGAGTGACGGTGATGACGGTACTTGCCCTCGAACCCGGGTCCATGATGCGAAAGAGCTGGTGGCTGAGGTGGGGTCGATGGGAGGCGGAAGGGGAGATAGGAGGAGTTGGGAGTGGGAGTGGTTGAGTCTGCAGGGCGGCAGCTGGGGTGGGGGCGATGGCAGAGTCCACTGCAGGCACCACACTGCACCGCACCGCAGCTACGTCTCTGATAGGTACGGCTTGGCCCAGTCCAGTCCACTTCTCTGGGTTGGCTCTCATCCAGCATCGTTTGGGACACACCACACACCACACCACAGCACCACACACCACACCATAGAACACCACACCCCCCACCCCAACCCACCCTACCCCACCCTATCCTACCGCACTCACACAATCAAACGACGCTAAGCACCATACCACCACGCAACACCCCACCACACAGCACCAATCCCACAGGGCACCACACCACACTGCACTACACCACAGGGTACCGCATTACACCGCACTGCACTGCACTCCGTCTCTGCAAGGTACGGCTTGGCCCAGTCCACCAGGAACACCTCTTCTCTGGGGCGGCTCTCATCCGGCGCCCTCCTGCCCGTCAGCATCACCAGAAAGACCACACTATACCACACCCCCACCCCACCGCACCCCACCGCACCCCACAGCATTGCACCGCACTGCACTCACGTCTCTGAAAGGTACGGCTTGGCCCAGTCGACAAGAAACACCTCCTCTCTGGGGCGACTTTCATCCAGCGCCCTCCTGCCCGTCAGCAGCTCCACCAGCACCACCCCGTAGCTCCACACGTCACTGCGCGCTGTCAGGTGGCCTGTGAGAACGTACTCTGGAGCAGCATAGCCCACCGTGCCCACCACCTACACTCAGGGCGTGGTAATGCGGAAGAAGGGGGAAGGGGCTGTTAGTGAGAGGTGTCAGTAAGTAGCTACACATCGCTCTCCACCAGCACCACCCTGTAGTGGCACACATCGCTCCGTGCTGTCAAGTGACCTGTTGGGACATATTCTGGGGCCGCGTAGCCCACTGCGCCTACGACCTGCAATGCAATTAGGCGAGGATAAGGGAGGTGTGTGTAATAAGGGTGGATAGTGAGACCCGTTTTCGAGTCGACTCAAAAATCTGCTACAGTGTACTTTGGAGCAGAATAACGCACATTCTTTTCGTCTGGGAAAAGCCCACCTGCCTCAGACCCGTATCCGTGTCCTCTCACCTGTGTGCTGACGTGCGTGCGTGCGGTCGGTCGGTCGCCCTCAGGCCCCGCGCTGGCAAGGCAAGCACTCATCTCGGGTGAGCTTAGCCAACCCTGCCTCGGATCGGACTAATGTGCCTCTCAAACGCCTGGTCCTACCTGTGTGCTGACGTGGGTGCGGTCACCCTCAGGCCCCGCCCTGGCGAGCCCAAAGTCAGACAGCTTGGCATGCAGGTCGTTGTCCAGGAGAATGTTGGCGGCCTTGAAGTCCCGAAAGATCACCTGCACGCGTGTGTGTGAGGGGAGGGAAGGGCGAGGGGGGGTTTTGAGACGTCTCAAAACACTTCTTCAAACACGAAAGATCACCTGCACAGGTGTGTGTGAGGGGAGGGAAGGGCGAGGAGGGGGGGATGGAAGAACGCATACTCATGAAGCAAGGGTCAAAATCCGACAGCTTGGCGTGCAGGGCGTTGTCCAGCAGGATGTTGGCAGCCTTGAAGTCCCGAAAGATCACCTGCACGCGTGTGTAGGGGTGGGACGTGGGGGAGGGGAAGAGGACAGGAATCACCAGATATGTATCGATCAGCAAGGGTAAAAGTCTGACAGCTTGGCGTGCAGGTCTGTGTCAAGCAGGGTGTTGGCGTGTGTGGGTGGGTGGGGAGGGGAGGAGAAAGGTATGTGCGCACGTAAGTAAAGCTTGACCCTGACTGCGTGAAGGTCGCCGCCCAGTCAGCAGGATGTGGGCACAAACTCGTACACCAGTACCCGGTGCTCCTCCTCCTGTCAATCTTGACACCTCCGCACAGTACCCCAGCAGCAGAGCAGCAGCCGCACCTCTTGCCCTGGCGGGTGCCAGCCTAAGCACATAGAACACCTCACCTGGTTCTCTGTCTCGTCATGCAGGTATGCCAGCCCCTTAGCCGCATCCAGCAGCTGCTCTTCCCCTGAGGTGCCTGCTCAGCAGACAGACAACTAGCAACCCCACACACAGCACGCCACACAACGCACCTGGTTCTCTGTCTCGTCATGCAGGTATGCCAGCCCCTTAGCTGCATCCAGGGCAACCTTGATGCGGTCCAGCCAGGCCAGCCCGGTGCCACCCTTGGCTCCATTGGTCTTGAAGAGGTGGTCTTCGAGGGACTTGTTGGGCACAAACTCGTACACCAGCAGCCGATGCTCCTCCTCCGCACAGTACCCCAGCAGCAGCCACCCATTTTGGCCCCATGGGGTGGCTCAGTGGGCCCAGCCCAGCTGCCGTGAAATGCCTGCCTACGCACACAGCAAGCGCACAGCAAGCCAGCCAACGCACCTGGTTCTCTGTCTCGTCGTGCAGGTACGCCAGCCCCTTGGCGGCATCCAGAGCAACCTTGATGCGGTCCAGCCAGGCCAGCCCCGGCCCGCCCTTAGCCCCGTGTGTTTTGAAGAGGTGGTCTTCGAGGGACTTGTTGGGCACAAACTCGTACACCAGCAGCCGATGCTCCTCCTCCGCACAGTACCCCAGCAGCCGCACCAGCCGCGGGTGCTGGATGTTTCCCAGAAAGTTCACCTCCGCCAGCCACTCCTTGTGGCCCTGCCAGGGTGATTTTGGAGGGGGGCGGGGGGGTGGGTGGCGGCGGGAAGGAAGAAGGGGTGAGACATCTCAAAACACTTCATTCTACAAGTGTTTTGAGACGTCTCAAAACACTTCTTTTTACACCTCTGCCAGCCACTCCTTGTGGCCCTGCCAGGGTGATATTGGAGGGGGGGCGGGGGGTTGGGTGGCGGCGGGAAAGGATAAAGGGGGAGACAAGGGGAAAGTAAGGGGAAAAAGGGAAGGAAAAGAAAGGGGGTTCAGGTGCAAGGAAGGAGAACGATTTACACAGTCTTGCCAGGCCAAACCAGGAAAGCCCTAGAACTTGATGGGCAAGAGCTCGTTTCAAACACACGTGGGGGAAAAAGGGAGAAGGCGAGCAGGATAACAAAAGGGGGAAAGCACATAACCACTGTGAACTTCTGCCAATCACTTTAGTCACACTGTCTGTAGGCACGCCCTCTAAAGGACGCACGCTATGAGCTCACACGCACGCACTCACATCACACACTGTCTGTCAGGTCAGGCCCCCAAGCTCAATAAATAACCACCCACAGGCCCACCTGCAAGAAGACTGCGCCCAGCTCTTGACTGCCATTGCAAACCCCTGTCCCATGATAATAATCACACCCTCTATAACCACACTGTCTATAGGCACACTCATTCAACTACCCCCCACACTCTCACCTGCAGCCCATCTATATAAGGTCTCTTAAAACCGGAGGGCCAAGAAGGCCAACCTTCCTAACTTTGGTTCAACCTTCCTAACTTTGGTTCAACCTTCCTAACTTTGGTTCAACCTTCCTAACTTTGGTTCAACCTTCCTAACTTTGGTTCAACCTTCCTAACTTTGGTTCAACCTTCCTAACTTTGGTTCAACCTTCCTAACTTTGGTTCAACCTTCCTAACTTTGGTTCAACCTTCCTAACTTTGGTTCAACCTTCCTAACTTTGGTTCAACCTTTCTAACTTTGGTTTAACCTTTCTAACTTTGGTTCAACCTTCCTAACTTTGGTTCAACCTTCCTAACTTTGGTTCAACCTTCCTAACTTCGGTTGAGTTTGGCTCTGACACCCAAAATCTTGGCCAATTGCATTGCTCGCCCCAACCCAACCAACCTTCCTAAGGTTGAGCTTCTTGACCCGCGGGTTTTAACTGCCACCACAATCTTCTGCCCCATCACTAAAGGCATACCGTCTATAGGCACAAGAACACACTCACCTACCCATTTGCAGGCTGCAACACCCCCCCACACACACTCAGCAGTCTCTTAACTGCCACCACAATCTTCTGCCGCCCCACCACTGTAGCCACACCGCATATAGGCACACAGACACACGCCTAATACCAGCAGCATCCCCACCCTCTCACCTGCAGCCCATCTTTATTCAGTCTCTTAACCGCCACCACGATTTTCTGTCCCATCACTATAGGCACGCCGTCTATAGGCCAGGCGTCCACTTGACCCTTGTACACGCCCCCGAATCCGCCCTCCCCCAGAAGATTCTCCCTGCTGAACCCCCCTGTGGCCGCCCTCAGCTCTGTGTACGAAAACACTCGGAGATTTCCAGCGTTCTGCTGGGTGATGGCAGGCATACGTGGCATGCTGCTACTGGTGCTGACGGTGCTGCTGCTGCTGTTGTTGTTGTTGCTGCTGGCGCCGGCATTTGAACCTCCCCCTCCTCCTCCCCCTCCGGTAGACCCTGATTTTTGCTGTTGGTTCTGTTTTTGGCTCTGCTGCTGCTGCTGCTGCTGACTGCCAGACTTGGGTAAGACACCGCCACTACCCCCACCAGAACCCCCACCCCCACCTGAACCCGCCCTTCGGAAACTCCCCCCCAGACCTCCACCACCACTCCCCAGCCCGCTGCTTCCTATGTTACTCCCCCCGCCGCCCCCCCCTGCCCCTGCGCCCCCCCCACTCGAATTCGACGAGCCAAAGGACTGGGGGGACGGTAAGGGAAGCGCCATTCCGCCAAAGAGGGGCGCGGGGGAGCCAGGCACGCGGAGGATCCCGTGGGGGGACATGGGTGGGGAGGGGGGTCTGGGGAGGGGGGTTCCGGGCTGGCGGGGGGAGGGGAGGGGGTTGTGGGGGTTGGATTTGGCTGGGCGGAGCATGCCTTGTGAGGAGGCGGAATGGTTGGGGGAGGGGGATTGCTTGGGGGAGGAGGGTTGGGGGGAGGGTCGGCCTAAGGAGCGGTTGGAGCTAGATCGGCCTAAGAGGCTGCTGCCTATCCGCTCGTTAGAAACCGGCTGCTGCTGTTGCTGTTGGTTCGGACCTGTTTGCTCCTGGGAATGGCTTGATGGCTGGCTGTGTCCGTGCTGCTGCTGGCTGTGCTGGTTGGGGCCTTGCAGAGGAGAGCTGGTGGACGGGCGGTGGTGGGGGGGGAGCGGGGGAGTGTGCGCCCGGTGCCTGTCATTGGACAACGAGCGCGAGATGGCGCTGTGCGCGAGGAACGCACTTCCGCCTCCCCCGCCACTCCCCGCGCTGTTGCTCGTTGGGGCTCCGCCTCCTCCTGCTGCTGCGCTGCTGTCCCGAGATTCTGAGACGATCCCCCCGCTTTTAGCTCCGCTGATACCCCCCCTAGGATTGTTCACAGCAACCCCTACTGAACCTGAGCTCATAGTGCCCCGAGTGTTGGCATCAGCAATACTGCTCTCACCATCACCGCCCGTGCTGCCATCTGCGGTTGTCCCAGGCCCCTCTGCGGCGTCTGGTGGTGCTGCTTCTCCTGCTGCTGGTAGCCCGTCCGTGCTGTCTCGAGCCTCTGCTACATCTGCAACCGCCGCTGCAGATGCAGACGTGTCCTGAGCACCAGCTGTTTCCGCTTCAGCTGCTGCTTCTGCTGAGATGCCTTCCACGCCTTCTTCGCCTTCCTCTCCTTCCTCTCCTTCCCTAAGCCTCTGATGCGACGACGGAGAATCACCGTCATCCTCACTACACCGGCTGCTAAAGCCGCGCTCTTGCCCTTCACCAGCCTCAGCTACACGCCCGCTCTGCTCCGCCTCGCTCCCCCCTCCTTCCCCTGCTAACCTTCCGCTTCCGCCATCTGCTGCGTCCACTGTGTCCTCATCGGCCGCATCAACTTGCGCCTGTTGAGCCTCCGCGGACCGGTTGAGCTCCGCAGACCCGTCTTCGTCCGCGGACTGGCCTACTACCGCCGGTGCCTCCGCCTTCTCCCCAGGAGCATCAACGACAGTGTCCCTGGCGGCTTCAGGCGGCGACTCTTGCAGCACGACAGGCGGGTCTTGCTTCGAGAGCGCGACTGATGCGGCGGAAGAGATGTCTTTCGCGAGGCTGGAGACTTCCGTCGCAGGAGGCGCTGCTGCGAGAGCTGCGGTCGTTGCTTGCGAAGGTTTCGCGGGATTCTCTGCTGCGGAAGGTACCACTGCTGCTGGTGCTGCTGCGGTTACTGATGGTGGTGCTACAGGCTTGGTAGGTGGGGGGAGTGGAGGGTTGTCTACTGCTGCTAGAGCCTTGGACCCCCCACACCCCATGGGCGAACCCTTGCCCTGAACCTAAATTACTCACAACTCTGGAGTTACTAAACTCTCAGAATTATGTCAATATGAAGGGTCCAGAAAAGGATATTATAGACGGTTGAATACGGTTCAGAATGCGCTGGTCGATGTTCTCAGCGGTAGCGGCCGCATTCTGGAAAGCGAGAGGTCGGAAAACGAAGCGCAGCACTTATCATGTTTATTTCCAAAAACTCCTTCCGGAATGAATGACAACAGGGAACGTCAGGTATTCTTGGACAAAAATCTTCTATTTGTAATGTATTGTTAGAAAAAAACCCACGATTAAAAATAAACACGTCGTGAGCTATGAGCGTGTCTATCCTTCAAGGTTCGGAAGTGCTCGAGCGGACCTAGGAATTGTGTAGCTGTTCGATGGTTGCCAGCAACCCATGGATGTTATTAGTCTCAGGACTACTGAATCATTCCGCCTCTCGACGTTATCGCACTTCTTAAAACGCTGGAAGCATAGGCGTCAACGATTGTGAGGAGTGTAGGTCAGTAAGGCCTATCTAGCCTTTTAATTGCTGGCGAAGGTACAGTGATCAATGCGAGACTGGAAATGTATAAGTGAGCTTCGCGAAACTGACTCGCAGCGTTTGGAGACCGTCAAACATGATCGCCAGGCTAACAAAAAATGCATTTCATAGAACCTGTACTGAAATTGGTAACGAGCCATCTAGCGTAGAATGCGGAGAAATGGGAGGTGTACGGAACGCATTTCGAGGTTCATTGTGAAGCATCAAGGATTGGGAGTGAAGCATCAAGGTCGGGGGGAACCAACCCAACCAAATTATGGGTGCGCGGAAGGCGAAGGGGAAGGGGGGAGAGAAAATGGGGAAGCGGACGGAGAACGTCGAGGAAAAGCTGGCAATTTCTGGGAGGAGGGGGCAACTGTGCGGGGCTGGCGGAGCTGGTTCGGGAGAGTGGAGCGGAGTGGCGTGGAGCCACACAAAATGCACGAGCGAGTGACCGCAAGTGGGCTTGTGGTTGTGGTTGAAAACGAGGCAGGGCGGAAGGGGGGCTACAAGAGGATGAGGGCTCGGGGAAGGAGTGGGCGGTGAACTTTCCCCTTTCCCCCGCCAACAACAGGGCGCAAGCAAGAAGCATCAAGAGGTGGAAGAAAGGAAGAAAAGGGTGGGGGGAGGAGGGGGAAAGGGGTGAGGAAGTGGTTTGGGTGGGGAAGGAGGCTAGCTTTGTCGCAGAGCCATGTGAAAACAAAATTGGGTTTGCCTCGCTGTTCCAGTTCGGTCAAATGGGTACATGTAAGGAAAATTCCTTTTCCTTACTTCGCATCCCCGCTCAACGCGTACATCACTGTAGCACCTCAGTCAGCACCGTTACCACTCGCATCAATAATCCGCCCGCCATTTTTCGCATGTCGCACCCCGACCTCACGGCTCGGCGGTAACCCGCGCTCCGGACCTCCGCCTCGACACTTTTCCCAACCTCAGTCCCAGGCCCGTCGCGCGACAACCACAGTCCATTACCGTTACCACTATAGTTTCGCTATATAATCCTTCGCTCATGCCTTCGCTCATTGTACTCTTGCTTCGATAGTGCAATCTTCGTTCGCTCACTCCATTGCACCCGTAACACTTGGTATTCAGAGCCTACGATCTCTTCTCGGACCGCATTCACACCTTCGTTTCCCCACTATCTCAATTTTTGGGGGGGGTAGACGTCTCTCAGCGATCAAGCACCGCCGCTCGTAGTGCTCTCTCGTAAGCACGCACGGCCACGACAGAGGCTCTCGCTGCGCTTGACCGACACCCCCGCCATGGCTGAATTTACGCTCGCGACGTTGACGCAAGAACAGTTTGACCGTCTGATCCGTCAAGTTGAAGATTCAGCACTCGAGATTGCGACGCTCACGGCAGAACGTGACTCCGCGCGTCAGCAATCTGCGGCGAATGCTCCAGCGTCACAAAATGCACATGCACAGTCAGACGAGCCGATTGTCATCTCGTCCGGCACACCAACACAGCACGACAGCGTGGGACAGCGCTCAGGCGCAGCCAGTGACAGCGCCGCCCAGCCAATGCCTGGTATGGGAGGAAACCGGGCCGCACCAAGCCCACGGGAGCCTCGTGAAGCCCGTCGGCACGTGGAGTTTGCGGCAACAAGTGGCGACCAGGCAATCATGGCGCCGATGCCACTCAAGCCGCAACGCCCGCCCTGTTTCGACCCGAGCCAGCGTGGTGGTCCGACGGTTCAGTCGTGGATCTTCACGATGAACGTGTTTTTTGACGCGAACTACGTCGAGTCGGACGCAGCGAAGATACGATACGCCGTCTCGCTGTTGAGGGGCCCCGCTATGGACTGGTGGCGAGTCATCGTGACGTCGCCACGCGCCTACGAGCCACCGTCGCAAGAGGAAGGGCCCGCGGGCCCAGCAGTCAACTGGATTTCATTCTGCGAAACCGCCCAATACAGCACGTGGGATGCGTGGTGCGTAGGGCTTCGGGCGCGCTTCGAGCCGATCGTGGCTTCTATTTCGGCGCGTCAGAAACTGCGCACTTGGCGGCAGCTCGGGTCGGTTCAAGACTACACGAGCGGTTTTCTCGCATTATGCGAGCAGGTCGGCTACATGCACGAAGCGGAGCGGGTGGACCGTTACGTCGGAGGGCTAAAGCCGGAAATCTCGCAGGAAATAATGCTACGCGGACTCTCGAATTTCAACGAGATTCTCGCGATCGCCGAGAAAATCGACATTTTGCGCCGTCCGAGACCGGGGTCCTACTACGGACATCGTCCTCGAGGACCGATCGAGCACGCCACCGTACACGCCGTTGCGACGAATGCAGCTGCCGCACCATTCAAGGGGTGCTGCTTTGCTTGCAATAGGCCGGGCCATCGTAAAAGTGAGTGTCCAGAGGAGCTAAGGCGCCGCGGAGCAGAGCAAGGGAGGGAGTCTCAGAGGCAGGGAAACGCCAGCAGTCAGTAGAAATTGGGCCGACTACTGACGAGACTGCCTGCTCGCCCAACCACACCGACCCTCACCGAGTCACAGTACCGATCCACGCTATCGATCGGGCTCGGATGAATAAGGAGGGTACAGCGACGAATTGCCCAGTACTGATCCACGGGAAAATACAGGGAGCAGCAGTCAAGATTTTTATCGACGGAGGAGCTAGTCACAGTTTAGTTAATACCGCGACCGCACGGAAACTTCAACTGACACTTAGCCGGTGCTTACCTGAGATTGATGCACGCTTAGTCGACGGCACACCGCTGGCCATACGGGAGAAGGTGGAGAGAGTAAAAGTTCGCTGCGGAGGGAACTTCGGGTTTACACAAGAAATGCTCGCGACGACACTGGATGGGCACGACATTTTACTAGGACGTGATTGGTTGCGACGTTACAACCCGAGAATCGACTGGACGACAGGCAGCTGCACCGTGCGAAGTAGTGGTAACTGGGTCGAACTACCACGCTGGCAGTCGCCTGAGTCGTCGACGGTCCACGTCAACGCCATAACAATGAAACGGGCAGTCGCCGCTGGAGCTGACGTGTATGCAGTAGACATCGCAGTGGTAGGAGAAGCTGAGCAGCCGAGTGATTTTCAGAAACTGCTGACAACGGTACCGCCTGAACTACAGGAGCTATTGAAACGGTACCCGGGGATTTTCCCCGACGACTTACCGGAAGGACTGCCACCTCAGCGGGCGCACGACCATAGGATAGAGTTAGAGCCGGGGGCACAGCCAACTGTACAGCGCCAGTTCAGACTGACACAGCCGGAACTCGACGAACTGAGGAAGCAGTTAGATTACCTGTTAGCGAAGCAGTTTATCCGACCGAGCTCGTCCCCGTTCGCCGCACCGATACTATTCACACCAAAGAAAGATGGAGGGTTTCGCATGTGCATCAATTACCGAGCGCTCAACAGGGTTACAGTGAAGTCACGATACCCCATTCCCCGCGCCGACGAACTGATCGACCAGCTGCGAACAGCACGGGTGTTCTCGAAGATAGATTTACGGGGAGGTTACCACCAGATTAGAGTCGAACCATCGGACTGCGCCAAGACAGCTTTTAGGACTAGGTACGGGTCGTTCGAGTATACCGTGATGCCTTTCGGGCTGACCAACGCACCTGCAACATTCCAGATGACCATGAACGAGGCGTTTAGACCACTTTTAGATAAGTGTGTGATAGTCTACCTCGACGACATTCTCGTCTACAGCCGCGATAAGCAGCAGCATTTAGCGGACCTGGAAGCAGTGTTTAAAATTTTAGAGGAGCATCGGTTATTGACCAAGGGGTCTAAGTGCGAGTTCTTTCAGGATAGGTTAGAATTTTTGGGGCACGTTATTTCGGAGGCTGGGGTTGAGATTGACCCGAAGAAGCTGGATACGGTCAAAGCTTGGCACCCCCTGACAAACATCACGGAGCTGCAGAGTTTTTTTGGTTTTGTTAATTACGTCCGTCGGTTCGTCCCCAACATGGCACGCTTAACTGCCCCACTGACGGATCTGCTACGGAAGGGGGTCGTTTTTACGTGGGGGGAGAAAGAGCATGCTGCCTTCTCTACCCTGAAAAATGTTCTCTGTTCACCGCCTGTCCTGCGCATTGCCGACCCACACTGCCCATTCGAAGTCATTACTGACGCAAGCGACATCGCCATCGGAGCCGTACTGCTACAGGATTTCGGGAACGGCCTACAGCCTATCGCATACGAATCACGAAAGCTGCACCCACCTGAGAAGAATTACCCGATACACGATCGCGAAATGCTTGCGATCGTGCATGCGTTCAAAGTGTGGCGCTGTTACTTGACCGGCGCAGACGTGACAGTACGGACAGACCACCGATCACTACAGTATCTCCGCGCACAACCCCACCTCAACCCACGACAGATCCGCTGGCTCGACTTTCTAGAGTCGAATTTCCATTACACGGTCACCTACAAAAAGGGAGCGTCCAACATTGCCGACGCACTGACCCGCCCCACTGCCCAAATCCACGCAATACT